GCGTCCAAACGAAACGTGCAAAATATAATTACCCAATCATCGTGTTATAGGCCTGCACTATCCACTCATGCAGCATACCAATTTAAAGCTGAATAAATTCTGCATCATCTGACTCATTAATATTTCATCTATGTTAAGAGACACCCGAGATATGGTCTCTAAAAGTTGACCTTAAAAAATCAGGCTTGGCAAAATTGCGCGAAGTCAGAGAGACGCAAAAGTTTGTTATCGCTTATATTGAAGTGCATCAACATTGGTGGAATGGACATGTATTGAATATCAAATGAATAGAGAATGTTATTGCCTCTGCAATGAACAGCATCTTCTGATGATAGCTTCGAACAGATTGGAGAACAGCAGTTACAAATACCACACAAAAAAACGGGACGTAACAGAACATGACGTGCTCATTAGTATTGGTTTTGTTTTTGTTTAGGATCTAATGGTTTTGTGTCGAGACCGAATCCTTGTTTGCACATGGACTGTGTTAGTTAGATTTTGGACGTGATCACCAGTCATTGAGAAATATTGCCACGCTGATTACATTTTCAAGTTTGTTTTAGACGCCACTGTATGTAAGGCAATTGGCGGTTTCTTATACCCTGCTCAGATATACCTAGTCAAAATGAGAGAGAGATAACACATTATTGTGCACTTGTACAATCTCTCATTAGCTTAAGGTTCATATTTCCCATCTTAGTAAGGTCAGACCTAACCGGACAACCACCTGTGCAGGACAACCACTTGTACAAACGGCTACTTCACTCTTTGAGGGTTTTTTTTCTCCCTAAATAATGGAACTACGTGTACCTATGACAACAACTTCTCTAACGCTAACACGGCCACTACATTTTATCGACCAACAGCCTCAAAAACCTGTCCAAGATGGCCAAACAAATTCTTCTTCGCCTCATGCGATACATATAGTACACAGCCCTACGTGCAGGGAAGCTTGGGCCGTTTTTCCAAAGCCTTTGACGAGCTTGATCTCCCTCTCTCCACCAAGAAGACTGAAGTACTGTATCAGCCAACTCCATCAGCTCCTAACACAGAGCCCCAATTGACCATCAGGGACCAGAGACTGGCAGTAGGAGATAAGCCTTGTTTACCTTGGCAGCACCCTTTTTCACTCGGTTAATATCGACGAGCCTACAGAATTGCCAGAGCCAATTCAGCCTTCTGCTGATTAAAGGACAAGATCTGGGAGCGAACAGGAATGAGCCTTAAAGCGGACCACACATGACACAGGCCGTCCTTGAGGCCCGACCTCAATTGGTCGCTTTTAAGCACAAAGGGGCTCTCCCGAAAAATGCTGTTTTGAGAAAACCGAACGTTAAGTTTTTGCCCCTTGTTCAATTTCTTTAAAAATCAAGGAGAGTTTTCTCTATAACCAAACACATGTATACATACACACCAATGAAACCAAACTTATCCTATAGGTAGGGCAATGCCCACTATCGGTGTAGGTCACGATTTCTGGAAACCCGCAAAATCTGGGTTAGCCCGCTTATCCTCTAAAGCGACCAATTGGACTTCGCAAGACCTCACACAGTAGACAGGCCCAGCGCAGGCCCGGCAAAGCCCATGTCGAAATCAAAACAAATCCCCAGTCAGTGCAAGGACTGAACAAGGCGTGTCTGAATTCTGTCTTCGCCTGAAATTTTCAGGAGACCGGTGTGATAAGTAGATGTGTTAATGAAAGAAAATGGCAACGTGGTCAAAAGACAATGTTTTGAATTTTATTGAAATACAATGTATACAGAAAACACCAGTGCCTTTGGAAAAAAGAAGTGCAAAGTGTACAGTAACAGATAACTCAGTGGTAAACAACGCATACGAGGAGCTTGTTTGTCTGGCGAAAAACTTTGACGTAAATGCCGATAGGAACAGTATCATTTTAAAAAATAAGGTAGTCTGAAGAATACTCCACCAATTCACGAAGAAAGTTTGTGTGTGTGTGAGTGTGTGTGTGTGTGTGTGTGTGTGTGTGCGCGCGCGCGCGCGTGTGTGTGTGTGTGTGTGTGTGTGTGTGTGTGTGTGTGTGTGCGCGCGCGCGCGTGTGTGTGTGTGTGTGTGTGTGTGTGTGTGTGTGTGTGTGTGTGTGTGCGCGCGCGCGCGCGTTTAGGCCTATGGAGAAGCCACTTTTTGGACTGGAGCCTCTTTTCAAATATAGACGTATTGCTAGACTTGCAAGCGAAAGTGTAGCCTAGTTGGTAGCCATGCCTGCGAAATGCGGACAGTCTGCAGCATCATCATATCCTCCCCTGGAACTATGGACGAGCCTTCATAATCCATTCATCTGTCGGTATTGTTAGCCTCTCTGATGAATGAACGTCTCCCTGAACATTATCAGGTTACTGGCCACTACCACTGTTTCCCCAAGTTGACTAGTCGGTAACAAATTTCCAGCTACAGGTGAGGGAAGCATAATATGCTGTTAAAATCTATTAGCCCCTCCCACAACTGAACGGTTCTCTGACCACACACGAATCACACCAAGTGCCCCTCTGTGTACCCGGTCGGTAACAATGGACGTCAAAATTATCTTGCGACAGAAGTGTCACTCGTTTGCTGACTAGTGGTGACCCTTTAATTTATTATAAAATGGCCTTCAGTTTTCCATTTCGTTGGGGGGGTTTTGTGGGGAAGGGGGGGGGGGGGGGTTTATACCCATGCACGTTATCTTCCTCATTTGATACACTTGAGAGAATTTAACACTCACAAGTTAGCAGCTTCGAACCCTTCATTTCTTTCTGCCATCTCTTCCAAAGAATAAAAAATTTTGATGAGCCTTTCAGCAGTCATAATGGTTTGTTTTCTTCACTTTCATCAGTCCTGCCCAAGATGTCCACTTGTCTAAAACAACCACTTTTCTCCGTGACAATGAACAGCAGTCTTGGACATTTTCAACTGTTTAAGATTTCAACTCCTGTTCGTCTCCTCTTTCCTACTTTTAATTGTTGTTTACGGTACTTCATCCATATTATTATGCACCCATTCCGTTTCTATTTCTGATACATGTATTATCTATTAACATATCTGTACAGAATACCCAACACACAAATGAAAAAGAAATTGAATGAAAAATGTGTACATGATATAATATATGTATAAAATGTAATATGTATTTATTACAATATGTTGCAATCATCTAGAGAGCAAACTGTAAACTGTGTAATTTTTCCAATAGCGTTTTCGTGCATAAAATAGTCAAAGTCTTGACCCACATTCTAATATTATAAATGCTTTCAATGTGTCTTCACAAAATGGAAGAAGCACTGACTAAACAGGACAAACATCGGTTAAGATAAAGTAATACACGTACATTGGAACTCATGCTACTGAGCAATTTTACTACTAGAACATGTTTGCATGTGAAAACAAACTAAATATCGAGAACGATGAAAGTAGAGTACATGTAGTTGTTCCTGGAAGAGTAAGTTTTATCTTGAATGCGCTGTTCTTTAGACTTTAAAGAAATCGAAGCACGTTTTGAGGATGACACATTTTGCGAGACAAAGTGTATGAAGATACACACAATGGACAATAGGAGAATAAATGTTGTTTTTGAGGTTTCATAGCCTCAGATGATTCTAACATAATTATCTTTTCGATTATAGGCTACCTACTAGTCAAACTGTGTATTTCATCTTTTCAATTTAAGATTTGAAAATGGACAATCATTTTTGCAAGAACTTTTCCACACATGTTGAACTCTCGTGCAAAACTTGATGTGCCAACATTCGGTCTTTTCACAGACCCTCACACAAATTATGTGGTCTTCATACTACTTCTTAACTTCTCTCTTTATGCCAATGGCCAATTCGCTTCTTTAAACTGACATTTACTGACAATATGGAACACGAACATTCCAAACCGATGAAGTTAAAAATATTTGTTTTTTTCTGTTGCAGTCTCAATTCAGGGGGCTCTCCTGGTCTAGGGGTTAAGGTTTTCGCCTCTCATTCAGCAGGTCTCGGGTTCGAATCCGTCTAGCGACGGAAACTTTTCTTCTCTAAAATTTTCTCTTTTCACCTCTTTTTCTTCTCACTAACCATGTTCTGTCGTCTCCACTTTCAGCCCCCTCCTCCCTCCCCTTTGCCCCTTCTTCTGGGCTCCTGACTCTTTTTGCAGCCTTTCTACTGCTTCTCCTCGGCTCCTTCTCACTACTGTCTTCCACCCACACCCTTGATCTTACGGTAGGTAAGAACTAACACCAACCCTTCTCGGATAAGGTTGAAAAATCTAGGAGGTCCCGTTTGCAAGTTGCACACGTTAAAGATCCGTTGGTGGCCCTAAATCCGATAAGAGAAGGTTTTGGCCGCCACCATGACAAAATTCAAAATTTTCTACCGACTGAAAAATGTTTAATGTGTCCCGCGCGCTCAAATGACTTTATGCAGTTGGGAGCGCCCTAAATCTCTAACCAGAAAAATAAAAGTATCGATTCATGGAATGATTGAGAAAACAATACAGAATAGTATTAAAATCTGAATAAGGTAAGCACTTATAACAAACGCTGAAGTTACATAACAGCATTGTAAAAAATATAACTACCCATGACCCAACATTTTGTTTGATTAAATTAATTGACAAATACAATAAAGATTTGTCCGTAGAAAAAAACTGTAAAGTCAAAGTTGTGATAATAACTTATTGTAGGATAATGGTACAGTAATAGTACAAATGTATTAATAACTTGCACTAACATCAGTTTTTAGGCTTTACCCAAACATATTTCCTAAATACATACATTAATGTACAAGGTTTTTAGGACGTCCATGGACTGATGTTTCACTAAACATACACTGAAATGAATGTATGTTCTATTTCTAATCTTTCTTTCTCTTTTATATTTCAGGGCCTGCTTCAGACTGTTATACAAGACTCCACAAATAGTCAACAAACTGCATGTTGTCTGAAGTTACGTCAGAAATTCCAATTCATCTGTGGACCATCAATAACGTGCGAAATAACTAACCCATGTTTGACTTTGTACAAAATATATATAAAAAGAGTTCAAAAGCAATGATGAAACACTAAAGTTTTGTTATATCCAAACATATTTTTGACGAGGCAGGGGACAATACGCTTTGCACTTAACACTAAAAAGGATCATCCGGGTCTTCTCATTACTTTCCGGATCCTGGGGAGCGTTTAACTTTAAGTAGGATTTCCAAGTAAATGTAGCGGTAAAATTGGGAAATGAACGTTTTTCAAATGTCTTGGCCTAATTAGAGGAAATCAATTTCGAGCACATGAGATCATTATTTTAATGCCTTCTCCTCTCTTTGTGGCTTCAAAAGCCTTGATGGACTCTTCCAGTTTGAACTTGTGTGTAATAAGTGGCTTCACATTCACTTTTCCTGAAGCCACCATAGCTAAGGCTGTGGGATAACTGTGAACAAGATGAGAAAAAAATACAGGCTTATAATCCCATGCTACACTCGTAGAAGTAACAATTTTGGATGGATGGTTTATGGCACAGAGAATGACATGGGTACTGTACTGGCGATAAAAAGTAGGCCTAGATCTATCAACGTTTGGTTGTTAATTTAAAGAATCTAGTCTTTTGGGTCTTTACACCTTTCCTTTCACGTAAGTGATTAAAAGTACCCTAAAAGTAGGTCATGTTATGAAAATAACATTTTGGCGCTTAAATAAGTGTTCGACATCAACATAAATAGAAAATTGTCATTTTCTTCCGGCCACGTGGTGAATTTTCTCTTTTCTAGAGGGGGTGGGG